GCAAAGAACCCATCAATGAACTAAATCCCCAAACCCTAAGTCAGAGGAAAAAGTACCTGTGTCCTCCGGACGAAATTCAAGAAGCATACCAATGTATCTCCTCATTTTCCTCGATCACAACCACTTGTTTCGCAGCAATTTCACTCCTCACCACCTTCATCTTCGCCATTACTGTCTGCTGCATACACACACAAACAGTTGATTATTTTTTATCCAAAAAGAAGTAAAATTGAATGGGGAATTGGGAAATTCATTGAGAGGGGAATTGGGAAAATCACCATTCTGATGGCGTTGTGGTGCAGAAGAGAGAAATTCAGCCTCTGTCTCTGTTTGTGAAGAAAAGAGAAGAGAAGAGCGTTTTGTATGAAAAGAGCTCTTTGGGTAACGGTCAATTATTATAATAATTTCAAAAATGAGTGATATAACATTATCTTTTAAACTTTCATTATAATATGTTTTTATTTCCCTCTACACGTTAATTTTTATTTTATTTTTTTAAAAATCTTTTCAGTTTTAATTATGGCATCTAATTTCTGTGATTGATTATTTTGAGATATTATCCTTTTAGAGCAAATTTAATAATACGTTTTGTGTAAATTAATTAAGTTGAGTGAATTTGCTATTTTTCACTATCGAGTTCGACTTCTTCTAATGAAGACTAGAAAATTAGCATTAGTGATCAATCCTACTTGAAAAATGTCTTTTGTAATGATATGTGCAAGAAATTTCAACCTCAAATTAATTAAGTCTTGGTCTTTCTGATAAGTACTTGTGGCCTTGCATTTTGAGTACTGCCATTAATTTTTGGGTCAAGACTTAGAAAGTCTCAATAAGACTTTGATTACATAAACTCTTGGCACATTAGTCAACATGAAAAGTTTTGATAAAAGAAATATGTTTTGTGTTTTGCGTAATCTTCTTTTTTTTTCCAAAGGAAATACATTGACTTTGTAGAAGGAGACGAATATATGAACGAAGAAATAATTTGTGAGGAAAAACTGAATTTGCTAGATAAGTCAATTGTGGCAATTAGTAAGCACAAGAAAATAGAATTCTAATGCATAAATATGTCCTTTAATATGGTCTCAGATTACGTATACACTCTCCAACTTTGGATCTACACAACTAGATACTTAAACTTGTATAAAATTGCACACATAATTAAACACAAATGTCCTACATGACATTCTACATGACATTTTGTGTCCTACGCTTCTACCAGGACCGGAATGATTATCCCTGCCCGATGGGTCTACATCCATCCCTAAATGTCGTCGGGTACTGTTAACTTCCCCGCCATTCTTGTAACTGTCACCTGTAATCCGCGCAGGAGTGTCCGCACCCCCCTGAGTGGAGTCTTACATGTACATGGCAGTATTTGATCTTTTTTTCTTTCTTTATAATATGTTTCAATTTCCCTCTTCACTTTTAAAAAAATCTTTTCAGTTTTAATCATGGAATTTAATCTATTACATTGTGTGGCTATTTATTTTGAGATATTCTTCATTTAGAGCAGATTTAATAATATATTTTGTATAAATTAGTCAAGCAAAGTGAATTTGCTAGTTTTTGCAAAAATTAATGGACATAATAAAATAAATTCAAATTTAAATATTTAATTAATTAAAAAATAGTCAAGCACAACTCTAATTTTAACTTAAACTTTTTAAATAAAATAAATAGTATCAAGAAATGTGTTCAAACTAAAAATAAATCTTATTATGTATTAATGTCATTGGGGCCTAGAATATATTTAGTCAAGTCTCAAAGTCAACTGCTCTATTTTATGATCTTTAACTCTAAAATAATAGGGTTCTCAAATGCTGAGTCAAAATCTCACATTAAATGACGTGTGTTTATATAAACTTGTTCAATTCTTTTATTATGACCTAATTTTTGAAATCGAGTTAAATTCAATTGTCATATTTTTATAATAGTAAATCACAAAACTAAATTTTGTGAGTAAACTGTATATGTATTAGAAAATATAAATGATGAGAAAGTCAAATTTATGATGTTGGAAATGACATCACGTCACCAAAATAAGTTAGATACATGGTTAAAATGAAGATATTCAAGAAAAGACGCATTTATCGCTAAATGCATTTCATATTGCATAATTTCAACTTTTTAAAATGTTCTCTTTTTCTATAAATGTACAGAATCAAGAGGACTATATCCAATGACTGGTATATTTGACGCTGCAAATAAAATCGAGGAAGGTAATTTTGGGTCTATCTACAAGGTTCATCTCAATCTTATCTCTATTAAGCTTTTATTAGGTTAATTAGCTACAACATCTGACATAGATAAATAAACATGGTACACTCTAGGACGGTGCAGTTATTGTTGTTGAGCAACGGAAGCATTAGTTTGTAAATGAGGTAGGTATTATTTCTAAGTTTACAACGCCCAAATTTATATGGATTTAAAATAACATCTTTTTTCGAATAAGTGATGATACTAAAATTTGAGTATTTTTTAAAAATATTATTTGAAACTTATAAGATATGGAAAAAAAATCTGAATGCTATACTAAATTTTTTATTTAATATTTTATATAGTTCGTGATAGAAATATCGATGTAACAAAGAAAAATTAATTTCTTGAAAAAAATTGCGGCGTATATGTGATTTTTCATCTCATGTGTATTGCCAAATTGATTTGATAATAACGTCATATTTAACTCAATTCTGTAAAAGATGGATGTCAATGAGAAAGATCTGTTTAAATTTTTCACGCTCAGTAAAACATTTGGGAATCTAAGTAGCTTAGTTGGCTGACTACCTCAACTTTCACCTTAATTTTTCACACTCAGTAAAACACAACAATCTAATTCTACCTAGTAGAGACTATTTATTTTGAGATATAATTCATTTAGAGCAGATTTAGCGATATGCTTTGTGTAAATTAAGTTAAGTGAATTTGCTGGTTTTATAAATATATAAGTTAGTTTTATGGTCTGACATGCAAACTTTCTGACATGTCTCATAATCTCAATCATGTTTGTGTTCTTTAAAGGAAACAAATATTAGTGATTGTCTTGTTTGTTCCAACCCTGAGTATATTCATTGGAATTTTGTTGGTCTCTTGACGATCAACTCTGAATTGTTTTGACCAACCCTGAAAAATATTATTAACAAGATGAGACAAGTTATATTGAGCATTATTAATTAATATTATTAATGATAATTTATGGAGAGTAAAAGAGAGAAATTAACATGCCTATATGATGATTCTTGATTGTTTTGACCAATTTCTTTCCAAAATGGTTGGTATCTTACACTTGCCCTATTAGGTGACCTTCTTATAGGACCTCCATTGCTACTGCTATTCCATTTTCTTGACCAACCATCAACTTAAACTTGATCAAATGACTTTTTAGTTTCTCCGGAGTTAGAATATGTGACACGTTATTAGTCTTATTATTTTCATGCTCTTTACAAGAATCAGTTCTTATAGGCTGATTAGTCTTGAACTTTGATTTCAAAGACGACTCTCTTTTACGAGGAAAATTGAAGGAAGTAGTAGATGCAACATCGGTCACTGATTTGAACGAGGACGAAACTCTAAGGGTATAAAATGTGTAAGCCAACCACTTACACATTCATCAAATACTATTACAACAAGAGATTGCTTTTACACTACCTCAATTCACAATATAAATGTTTGCGAGACAATATTTTCTTGGTGGTTTATCAATGACGAGGTGAATTGTCTGAGCATCCATTGCAAACTATATTAAAAAATTTATGATTATTTGGATTGAAAATAAGTTATTTCGAGATTAATTCCGTAACACCATATTTTTGAGATAAATTATCCTACAATTTTATCCTAAATAAACACGGACAAACTCATCCTATGCAAAATATTGCAATTTATAATAATTTCTATATAACTTTTGAATATCTAAACTATTAATTCAAAATATCTAATTAATATAATCTAATTTAATTTTTAAAATTAATTAAATTAATTCAAAAGACACAATATGACAATTTAAAACCAACGGAGGGAGTACTCCTATTTTAGGTCAAATAAGAAAGTCAAGCATGCCTTAACAGCCATTTTCTTAACACAGAGTGAAACATATTGTATTTTGAGGCAATAAAACATTATTTTTAAAATGATATTTCTCCTGACTTGTCAATGTAATGGCTTTATTGGGATAGTCATACCCTTAAGAGTATATTCGTTGAAATTTTGTGATCCGTTGAATTATTTGTTTTTCCAGAAAAATTCGACCAATTAAACAGGACAAAATCACATTATTAACTAAAATTAAGACGTTTTAATTTTAATGAAAATCTCCGACACCATTTCACTGAACAACCCTCTCGTCGACGATTTAGCTGACGCTGATTATCGTTCCTCCGATGACCGCATCGACGAGCTCGACGTTGCTGACAGAAACAGCAGTAACGATGATGAGTTCCTCTTATCCAATGAATCTCTGAACAGGACGATGAAGAAATCATCAATCAGCATCCTAGGGTTTCCTCGACGTATTTGTACGACCGATTGAGGAATGGGAAGATTACGTTAATTTTGAATAGAGGATGAAGTTAGGATTAGGGTCTAAGAGTGATGAATCTAAGGCCGCGTTTGGATCGAATGATGTTGGGTGAAATTGAGAGTGTTGAAGTCTTGAAGATGTGGCGTTGAATCAAAATAATAATCCCATGTTGCAGGATCCTGATGGAGCCGGGAATACTGGATTGACTAAAGGGGATAAGATTGTCTTAAATGAGTTTAAGTAAGTCCCATTTCTGGTTACCATCAGTGTCTGAATTGACAAATCTGAGTTGGTTAATGATGCTTTGGAGTTACAGAAGATGGCGGGGCTGGCGAAAAATGATGTTTTCGAGTTGAAGGAGTTGAAATTCAATAGTGAATTAGTGAAAACTAATGATGAGGATGTGAATAGAGGTAAGAGAGTGAAGCGTAGAACTTTAAACGATGATGCTAGAATTGGAAAAAGAGTTGTTTATGATAGTGATGGAGATTCAGCTCCTAGGAGTAAGGAAGAGATAAGGAATGGTAATATGAAAGTTGTGGAAGAGATGGGGTTACTTTCCGGGCTTGCATCCCCGGTTGTCTTTCACTAACTTTATGGACTCATTTTTCAGGAAAGAAAAATGTACTAGAGAGTTTTCATCGTCTGGAATTCTCCAGCATGGATGTTTACCGCTCGGTATCAGAGGGGACTTGAGAGTGTACTTAACTGTCACCGGGATGCTTGTGTGGTGGTTTTCTCTGAGACAATCGAACTTAATTTCTTTAGTGGTTTTGTGAAGGATGGGTAAATTACTGAATTTCTTTCTTCCATCAGTCTAGATTTGTTATCTTGTTGGCAGAGGCAGATGTAGAG